CAATAAGCAAAGGTCATTATAGAGTTACGACGTACGGGAATGAGTTATCAGCTGTCTAATCGTAGACAACACAATGTCGAATTTAAACTGTAAGCCTGTATTGGTATTGTTTCTTTAATTTGGCTGTCGAACATTAATTTATGGTTTGAAATATTATTTTGTGTAAAATAATTGATATGAAACAGCCGTCTCTAAAGTTATGACCCCATCTCACCACATGAAAGTGGCAGAAATGACAATGATCAGCTGACGCATTTTTCTTGGCCGAAGTCAGAGCGCGCGGCCCGACGCACCACCACCGCACCACAAAGTATCAGCAGAAGCCACCTGCGGTAGACCGCGCCCAAAGCCAGGGCCCCGGTGACGTGAGGTAGCCGAGTCGGGGCAGCGTGCGCTGACCCAAGCCGGGGCCGTGGCTTTGGGCGCGGTCTACCGCATCCCCGGGCAGCCCCGGGATATCACATGACACCGGGAGGACGCGCGGCCCCGGCTTGGGTCAGCGCACGCTGCCCCGACTCGGCTACCTCACGTTACCGGGGCCATGGCTTTGGGCGCGGTCTACCGCACCACCTAACAGGCGTGTTCGAAACCGCAGGAGATGATGATGAACGGGTTTATCGAAACTTGATTGGATGAGCCTATCGGTAATAGCGATTTCAGTGTGTGCATTTATTGTTCATAGTGGTGTGCAATGTGGTTGGGGTACGACCGACAACCCGTCGGGGCGAATTTCGCACTGGGGTACTCAAAATTTGAAGAATTTAAGACGTTTCCATGAGTTTTGAAGGTATGGATAAGTTCTAAAAATCCGGTTCTCCTTATTTGGGCCCTTAACTCCATACGGTCCAGGAAAGCTGGCACACTACCTTTAACAAAACCAAGGTAAACTAAAACGGACACTAACTCAACCCTAATCTCTAAACTGGTACGGCCGCTCTCCCGCTCCCCTACAACACCTCTGCGGTCTAATTCTATGGCTTTGGTGACAACAAGCAAACATTAAAGGGAGATAATGAGCTTTCTTTTTTCTTAAATAAAAATTACTCGACATCTATACTATTTTTACTGTGGTTTCTATAAAATATGAAAATTTCCTAGCACATTTTCGTATGTGAAAAAGGTTTTTATTTTTGCAAAAAAGAAGCAGTACTTGCAGTACTTGTAACACCCACCGAAATGCGTTGTCCTTCTCTATAAAAAAGTCGCAGCATATGGCGCTTTTGTTTCAAACAGCGACGCTTGGGTTTTTGTTTATGTTATCGCCTTGTCGTTGCTTGGTTGTAAGGATTCTAATTTGAATTAGAGTTAATTCGGTTTAGAATTAATTAGATTCTAATTCGGGGGTACATAGTGCCTACTCTTCTTTGTTTCCAAGTAGGTAATAGCGCCACAAATGAACGGCATGCGCCAGAAACGCAGCCAAATCTTGCGATTGCGACTACGAAATTCATTATTTTGACGTCAGAGCCTGAAGCGAAAAATACAAGCATATTTATTTCAAAAAGACTTCAGGTTTGTCGAACGGTGTTATGAGAATTTTGATAACAGTACTGCATAAGTTTTTCAGTGATGCCGCAAAAGTGTTGTATCTATCTTCTTTTATTGTGCAGTCGGCGGGACCGATTCAAAATTGAGTCGTTGCTACTAAAATAGCAGCATATGGCGTCAGATGATGAACAGGAAAAATAGTTGCGTAAATTTAGACATAAACCACCCCCAAACCATGAATATCTTTTGAAGGCACTATAGACGACCATTAACTAACTAGATGTGATGAAGATCAAATGTAAGGAATACGCTCATTTTACAAAATTACATGCAAGTACCAAAAAGTGATGTAAGTACTTATTCAACGGTCATTTTCAGCACTCCCCGCTAACGTGACTTCAAGTTGAGATATTTGCGGCAAGGTACCGAATTGAGCAAAATGGTTTTAATTTACATTATAACTTGCTGTGTTTTGTCAGAAAATGGTCCTTACTCAGATTTTGTGGAAAAAGGTCATTATCTCCCTTTAAAGGATGGGATATTCGGAGCGAATATTCATGTGCTTAGACGACAGTTCTGTGTTGTAAACCACGTCAAAATTCCAGGTGACCTAACCTAATATCAATATTTTATAGAGTTGCGCGCTCCTCTCGTTCAACTCATCCATCGTGAAATTGCCCGATTGGTGCGCCGTTCCGCGGCAGCCGCATTGAACCCGCTGACCTCGAGTGGGTTAGTAAACGGTGCCATCATCGCCTATTGCGCACTCGGGGTCGATTAAAGTTATCTCGGCGGCGAACTTTTCCCGCTGCTAATATTATTGCCGGCTCGGTGCCGCCCCGAATGGTCAGCCGTTAGTGACTTTACTAAATGCATGGGACATTTCTAGATTTTGATGAAAAAAATGAAGCTTTCACTGGCCTTGGAATGTTTGTTTCATGATAAACGCGTTTTTATTGTGACAAGCTCCAAGCTGTGTAATTTCTATCTACTCCTATTTTAAACGTATTGCCCCGGGTAAAAACTTATTTGTGACTGAAAGGACGGGCCATCATTCCAAGCTGTTTTCCCCTCCTCTCCCCCCAATATTCAGTATTCACTGAAGACGGTTCATAACGTCCCTTCTTTTCCGCTGCCTGGAGGCTGGAGCTACCACTGGTCGAGGTCCAGAAATACCGCCGCATACCCCCTCACCGCCGCCGGTGTGGGTCGCCGGCGGTGTGGCGGCGCCGCGCATTTAGTTACCGGTGACACGGCCCGCGGCCGTAACCCCCGTACCGCCGACCGTCGCGATGGGGTCACGTCCGGAACCGTGAGGGGTGGAGCTGGCGGACGGTCCGTCGGAGTTTAGCTCATCTCCCTCAGTGAAACACCGAGCTCCTCTGCTATGACAGACGGTGTGCTTGAGATGTCAGTTACTTTATGTACCGGTGTTGGTGAGGTTCTCGATTACCCTGACTAGTGGTGATAGCTGTGACACTGGGATATTTGCGCGGCTTGTTCCGCTTGGTCGCCGGTATCCCATGGCCTGTCCCGTCATTATCCCGCCTGTCCCTCGCACTGTTCCCGTCTTCCTTGCTCCCTCGTCCTCTCCCTCTCCTTATTTCTAGCCCTTAGCTCGACAGTCCTCAAGTTTTCTCCATCTATCGCCGCATTTGTTCCCGTTTGTCCCGGGTTATCTTCCCTTCTGTCCCCGGTTTTGTTCTGTCTGTCTGCTGCGGTGGGGCCGGAGGGGGTCAGCGCGGTGCTGGCCGTTTAGAGTCGTGGCACGTCGCACCGCTGTCGTTAGTCGCTCGTCGGGAAATATTTGGGCTGTGACCCGCCCCAAACACAGACCGTCGCCCCGGGTCGGTCACCCGCCACCACCCCCGGCCGGCAGACACACCGGCCGGCGGTCTGGGCGGACGGCGAGGGGGTGCCTCTTCTGCCCCACGGCCTGCGGTGTCTGCCACCGCGCTGTCAGTGACATTGAGCCTGTCTTGTCCGCTGCAAAGTAGACGTAGTTGTGACTTCGTTTTCACCCATCGAACGCAAAATGATTGCCGTTCGAATGTTAGCGCTCTGTGATAAAAGAAATCTGGCTGAACTAATAGGTAATGGACGCCATGCCAGCAATGCCATGGGATTGGTTATTGTTCACTACTGAACTGAACTGAACAATGTTCAGTTTGTTTTACAGCTACCCTGAAACAACTTAATTTGTATCCATATTTAAGATTCTTGTTTGTATTACCTATAAACGTTTGTCTTTGGTGTACTGTCGCGTTTTTTCTCCTCACAATTGACCGTTTGGAATTATCCGAACCGTTTGAGTAGCTGCGTGCGCATTCGTCAGCTTCGAGTTTATGGTTGGACGCGTCATTTGATTGTTATTGGATGCCTTTTGATGGGTCATAGGATCGCCTTTATCATGCAGCAAACCAATCTATTTAAATCGGCTTCATATTGCGAAAGTCAATAAAGTAAGCACGCTTATGTCTTACGATAACGACGTCATTGTGATTATAGCGCCGGCGTTATGAACGGTTTATCTGATCGCCTTTATTGAATGGAGACTGAATGGGGCAATCGGCTCATAGCAAAACTCGATAGTCGATGGGTCTACGATACCTAACCTACACAGCTGTCTAATACCTATTGATCGAGTATGTAATGACTTAGATATAGTAAGCTTGCAATCACAGTTTGTGCATTCCTGAAAATAAAATGGCATTACCTCAATTCCATGCCATTTTTCATTTGTAGTTTAGATATAAGGCTAACTCAGGGTGAAAATATTTCTATTTTTGTCTACCTGCATAATCCTCCGACCTCCGTCTATTATGTATAACGGCATATGTTTAAACATGCGCCGCCGTTTCTTGTATGCCCTCCCCTCCCCCTGGCGAGCTCTCTCGTGCTTGCAAGTCACCCGACAGCGTTGGTATCCGCATGCCCGAATTCCTTATTAGAAAGCTCAAGTACGAACAAATATTGTGCGAGATGTAACACACCGCAGTACCGAAATGTAAATGTTTTTGTAAACCGTCTGCAAACTTCAAACATTTTCCCACTGTTGAGGAGCTAAAAGAGTAAGATTATCCTGTCTTCAAGCGGCCGCAGTGTTTATCCGCTGTAAACCGCCCATCGCCCGTCTGACGGCGATGGGTGGTCCTCTCCTGCTCTCTCTCTCTCTCTCTCTCTCTCTCTCTCTCTCTCTCTCTCTCTCTCTCTCTCTCTCTCTCTCTCTCTCTCTCTCTCTCTCTCTCTCTCTCTCTCTCTCTCTCTCTCTCTCTCTCTCTCTCTCTCTCTCTCTCTCTCTCTCTCTCTCTCTCTCTCTCTCATCTCTCTTTTTCTTTTGTTCTCTTTTTCCATCATCTTTCAATCTCCATCCTCATCTCATTTTTATCCCTCACCCTTCTCACTCCGCCCCGTGGTGACCTGCCCGGCCAATTGCCAGCTACCCCCGTGACCGTGACCGTGTCATACTGTGACCGTGCCATGCCGTGACCATGTCGTGTATCCCCTCATAGGTCTGGAGCGGGAGCTGCTCTCGGCCGAAGAGCCGCCGGCGCCCCGCTCCGCCGCCGCCGACTCCGTGCTTAGTCGACTGATGGCTCAGACGGCCGAGAGGCCGCTGTCAGAGGCGGCCAGCCAGGTGGTGGCGCGCATCCCCGACATCGACTTCATGCAGGCCAAGGTGCTCATGTTTCCGGTCCGGGGTGCGGACGAGTGATGTGCAGTCCGTGAGTGGGTGCGGTCTACCCTCAGAGTGTGATATGTGATCGTGGGGTGGTTGTTGGGTGGGTTTGGGACGCTGGGGTGGCTGGGGATAACGTGCTGTGGGATGGGAAGGCAGCCCGCCGGGCGTAGTCATGTTTTATGTTATGCCATACATATCCCCTATTCGGCTACATTCCTGTGTTGGCGGGTACGTGTGGCTCCGTGCCGGCCCCGCGGTCATCGGTAGCTCCTGTTTGCGCCGCGCGGTGGTATTCCACCTCGGATAGTTCCCGTATATATGATTTGTTGTCTAGTCACCTCGGTCGCTGGTGTCGAGGTTGCGTTCCGTCCTGTGGGCTGTCGGCCGGCCTGTCAGGGTCGCCCTGTCGGCTGTCTGTCGGGGTCGCCCTGTCGGCATGTCGGGGCCGCTCGGGGTCACCCTGTCGGCCGCTCGGGGTCGGTCTGTCGGGGTCGCCCTGTGTCGGCCTGTCGGGGTCGCCCTGTCGGCTGTCTGTCGGGGTCGGCCTGTCGGGGCCGCTCGGGGTCGCCCTGTCGGCCTGTCGGGGTCGCCCTGTCGGCTGTCTGTCGGGGTCGGCCGCTCGGGGTCACCCTGTCGGCCTGTCGGGGTCGCCCTGTCGGTCTGTCGGGGTCGCCCTGTCGTCCTGTCGGGGCCGCCCTGTCGGCCTGTCGGGGTCGCCCTGTGTCGGCCTGTCGGGCCGTTCGGGTGCCGTGCCATGCATTAGTAGCTCGGCGTGCTCCGGCCGACCGCCGGCCGTTTTAAGTGGTGTCCTGTGTTTGCCGGGTGGCGATTGTTTGGCGGTCTGTCGCCTGCTGGGCTGGCTCGGGAGTGGAGGGGGCGGGACGGCAGTGGGCGGACCCCGTGGGGACTCGGCAGCGCCCCTGTGTGTGTGTTAGTGTATACAGTGCGGTCGCACCGAGTGTTACGGCCGTGTGCTGGTTCATATTGTTATACATCCATATTGCATCATACCGAATCTGACAATATATAACTGATGAGTAACAGACGTATGAATGGGTGTTTATTTCTTCAGCCATGCATCACTTCTGTGTTGCACTGAGTAGCTGACACTTTGTCCAATCGTAAGCCATGTTTGAATATCGAGTCTCGCGTCGATTAACGAAATCCTGCTTGGTAAATGCGTCTCTGCTGAGGCTTAGTTTCGTCGTTCGCACACACAGTAATTGGCAATTACAGTGAAACGTGTTGTGTGCCGGAGCCGGCTGAATTAGCTCGCTTCCGTAATCACTGTTTGACTAATACCTACCGACTAGCGTTCTCACTGTGTGGGCAATGCGCGCGGACTGCTGATGAGGGCTGAGGACTCACGCCCGAGAAATCAAAGGCGCCAAACAAAACGATTGAGGAAAATTAAACACCAGCATACGCCAGTATGCCAGTCATGGCTTCTGGGAGTTGCCAGTGCCCTTTAAAATAAAATAAAAAATCTGCCATTGTTATGGTCAGCACCTGCGGGTTTTGTATTTGAGTTTCTCCCCTGACATTTGCCAATCTGTTGAATTGGGACCGTCGTCTCGGCGCCGCGGTCCGAGCTCCCTGCTGCCATGATTGTCTGGGGAGCGGCGGAGTCGTGCGCCCATCCCGCCGGGTCCGTGTAACGGCGGGGGCCGTTTTAGCTGTCTGAGGGAGAGATGGGGCACCTCGTCAGGTGTCACCTCATTATAAACAACCGTCGCACCAGTGGTGAATCTTATAAGGTTCCAACCGAATATCGTAACCTGGATTACATTCGATGTTGTTTACGCAAGGCTATGCAGTGTGCGGCCCATTTGACCTCGAATGTCAAATGCCAATGACACTGAGCCTGGGCCGTCGTCAGCCTGAACGTCCTACAGTTGAATCCAAGGCGCCTTTGTTGTTCAATCTGCATCATAAGTTGATACAATTTTCTATAACAAAGTACATAACTCATGCAATGCCACAATAACTTGTGATCCACAGAATCCTTGTGATCATGGTGTTCTGTCTACATATTTCATCAACCCAGACGGAGCTCAAATACCCGTAATTGACTTAGCCCCTGCGGGCTGCGTCGCACTCGGGGTGTGATATTTCGGCCTGGGGCTGAGCCCGGGCGGCGCCGTCGGGGCGTCAACGGCCGTCGGCGAGTTACCGTCGGTACCCACTGCACGCCGCCGGCAGTCGGGCCCGGGTGGTCAGCGGAGCCGTCCGGCGCGCGCTGTGCACCGGAGGGTCGGACTGTCGGCCTGACGTCGCCCGCGGCCGCTGCTGTACCTGTACCTCTGTAGCTGCTGTTGCTGCTGCTGATTTTGGTGAGTACGCTGCCGTGTGCAGACACATGGGTTCCTGATGTGTGCAGGTGGTGCCGCCTAATTGGTGCACTGGTGCCATATGCTCGTGACCGACTGGGTTAGACCTCCCTCGGGTGTGGTCTGAACGTGTGCGTGTGAGCTTCAGTGAGCAAATAGTCGAATCGTACCGTGGCCCGTGGCCCGGTCAGGCGCGAAATCGATAACCGTCTCAATGCAATCGTGTGTAGCGGTGGTACCTAATCGCTGATTTTTGATGAGCTGCGCCATGTGTCTCAAAATGTGTCGGTAAATGTGGTCTGCTGTTTCCAGTTCACTGGCGGGTAGTGATTGTGCCGCTTTGTCCCACGGTCCCTGGTCCCAGAAAACTCGTGCTCCCGAGGGACAAGGGTTCTGATTCTTGGAGCACCCGCCGAATGTGAGGTGGCTGAGACAAAGGATAGGTACCCTTTACATATTAAGTTATACCTATACTTTTTACACTGTCATCAAAGGTGTACCAGACAAACTTATGTGGATGTTTCATCAGTCGACGGAGGAAGTGATCATTGCATTATATCTAAATGTCAAGCTTTTGTAGACATACATAATTATCTTTTGATAAAACTCGCTTTATCACCGTACCGGACCGGTCGCTTTCCAATAAACTTTGGTAATCTAATCATGAGATAGGCGACGTTTTCGGTACTTCCGAAGCGTGATGTCATATTATCTCCTAGCTAAAGAAACCCATGACAGTCTCAGGGACACGGGTTTCGGGACGATGCTATTCTCGGGGTGTGAGACTAGCTGCACGCTCGGGAGGCCTGCAGGGATGATATTCGCTCTCGTCTCGTCGGAGGCGCAAAAACCTTCAGCTGCTGCCCGTTATTACGGCCGCTAATGACGAGCCGTCGTAGTACCGTTCTAAGGACACTTATCATTTAAATGTTTAGTCGATTCGATCCTTGTTGAATGATTCTGTAAGGATATGTGCAAGAACAAAACCCTTTTTTCATCATACCGCTCGGCAAGCCTGAAAGTATTTTTTTTTTAAATCCACAATTAGCTTGTGCGACGAGCGTTTACTGAATATTATGTGCTTTGCAGCGAGGCTGATGCAGCTATTTCTGGTCATTTTCGCAGCTACCATCTAAAGGCACAGCTCGCGTTCGACCGACCTAGCCAGAAGAGGACGGAGTGACAAAACACTCAGCAGAGTGACGGCGAGTTGTGAGACTCGGCAGAGCGCCATCTGACCGGCGCGGCGTCTACACTGAACAAGGCAGCGAGCTGACCGGCGAACCTGCTGAATCTCTACAGAACGTGCTGAGCGATGGCCGACACCCCCACCACCTCCTCCCCCACCGCCTCGCGCCCGCCACCCGCCGCCGCTGGAGAGGTGAGATCCGGTGGCAGTCAGCCTTCCTCACTGCCGGCGGACCTAAGCCGGTCGGTGGGACTCGGTGGGAACCGTCAGGATGTCTTCACTCCGCGGACGTCTGAGCAGCAGAAACATCCAGTGCAGCGACAGGCCAGGTCTGAGGGGCAACCGACGCAACAGGATGTCTGGACAGGTCAGTCAGATCACCAGGAGAGCCAGCTGTATCAGCCGGCTCAGCAGGACAGTCAGCTGTCTCAGCTAGATCAGCAGGGCAGTCAGCTGTATCAGCTAGATCAGCAGGGCAGTCAGCTGTATCAGCTAGATCAGCAGGATAGTCGGCTGTATCAGCCGGCTCAGCAGGACAGCCAGTCGTCTCAGCAGGATAGTCAACTGTGTCAACAGGAGGCTCAGCTGCGTCAGCGGGCTCAGCAGGACAGCGGGCTCCACCAGCCGTCTCAGCAGGAGAGCCAGCTGTATCAGCCGTCTCAGCAGGGTGTCTGGTCGCACCAGCCGGTCGGTGGGCCGTCCGGCCGGGACGCGCGGCTCAGCCTGTCCCCGGAACTGCTGCCCGGAGCGGTGCCCTCGCCCGGAGACAGCCTGGAGCTGGCCTCCCCGCGGGAGCCGGGCCCGGGGCTGCGGCCGGGCGGCCGCTCGCCGGGCCGGCCGGCTGACCAGAGCAGCTCGGACGGACGGCCCTCCTCCAGCGGCACTCCCTCCGGACACTCGCCCGAGGACCTCTCGGAAACGTCCGCCGAGTCGTGGAACCAGCGGCCGCGCGTGGGCTATCACCTGGCCAGTGGAAGCCCCTCGATGGCCAGCTCTAATGAACGGTCGCCCGTGACCAGTGATCACTGCGGGATGGATTCGGGCGAAAACGGGACGGATGATAACGTAGCGAGGAGCTGCGACCAAGACAGTTCTAAGATCAGCAACCCGGTAAGGCATTCTGACCACATTGTGGAAATCGGTAGCGAAGAAGTGTCACCTTTCTTAGACACAGTCCCAGCAACAGTACCAAGTCAGGAATCTCAACTTGCTGGAAGTTTGCGACCAACTTATGCATCACGGCATGAGCCAGCTCAAAGTCAGGACCAGCGTCCAACTCATCGTCAGACTCTGAGTGACGGCCTGACTCAGAGTCAGAGTCAGCGTCAGGGCCACATCCGCTGCCCGAGTCACGGCCAGACTCCCGTGCAGAGTCAGCCGGTGCGGAGTCGACACCAGGCGACTCCGAGTCAGAGCTGGAGGTCAGCGGCGCCTGGCTCGGCTCGGCACGGCTGGCAGCCGGTGCCGCGGTGGTCTCCGAGGGTGGCTGCCGGTCCGGACACCGGCCCCGGTCCCGGCGCTGACCTCTCCGCAGACCCCGGACCGGACTCCGGCTCCGGACCGGACTCCGGCTCCGGATCTCTCCCGGCGGACGCGTGCTGCCGCTGCCGGCCCAGCCGCTGCTGCTCAGTTCGGCACGTACTCGCCTACTTCAGAAGAGCCTGGATCGGAGTGCGCTTCAAAGGTGAGAGCGGCACGTGCCGCCGCCGAGGGTGGCGACCCTTGAGTGGGGGCCCCCTCCCTCTCCCCGGGGTGGAGGAGGCTGGGCACTGCGGTCGATTGGGTGTGTGGCCAGAGAAGCCTTTTACCGGACAGGTCCACTAAAATCGGTACCTCTATCTCAAATGCATCGCAATTCTGCAAGATTTTTTTTTCACAAATATGATTATAATTGATATAATGACTCCAGTATTCGCATGAGTGAGCGAATGTTAGGCCTAGCATGGTGCTCTAGATCAGAGGGGCTGTCGCATATCCCTGTTGATAAGTGGTGCAGGCTATCTTAACTGGCTACCGTGGCACAAATCCTAAACTGGCGTCAACACTAAACATATCAAATGCCCATTTGGACTTTCGATGAGGGGCAATTCGTGGTTCTTTTTACCCCGTCTGCCGAGAGGGAAAGAATGGAGGGGGAGGTAGAGAGACAGAGAGTGCGACAAGTTACCCGATACGGCTTTCAAAATAAGCATCGATTCGATTAGATGCTTATTCATTCGAAACATCATTAAAATGCATGAGAGACTATGCAAATATACACACTTTGGGAGGCAAATAATCTTATCGCTCACGTTATCTTGCTGGATTCGTCGCTAACTTAACATGGTCACGGTATCTTGTAGGCCGACTCAGGAATGAATCCCCAATGATAATCATGAAACGTACAAAGATAGAACAAAGCCCAGCTATGAGCTAACCGGGCACTGAAACATGTCAATTTACTGGAAAAGTGTATCGCGGAAAACTTCTCTAGATAGCTAGGTGGGCGTTCTTTGAACTGTCTTTCAGTCTGTCCAGGAGACCAAGTTCACCATGGGAGGAGCTTTTCTGTCACGCCACGGCAAACTTGTCACAAAGACCTCCAATAGCGATACCATCAGCGCGACTGATGTTGGCGATAATCGAATACTTTGGCGCTCGCTGGAATAGTCTTGCGACGTTACTGCCGTCGTGTGTCACGGCTTTCAACCCGAGTCCTGCACGAGTGCTGCAGTCGCATGAACATTATTTTGCACATTATTGCATGATGCAACGTTGTGCTAAACCATGTTTTTTTGCCATACAGACAAAGCTACACTTTCCAGCTACATTTGTGCTACATAGATCCTTGAAGAAACGTTTGTCAGTATTGGCATTAATTCATTTTGAGGTCGCCTTTCGACCTAAGACTAATACGGGTAAAGCTGTTGGTTATTTCTGTGTCCAGGTACTCGCCATATCCACCCCTCTTGTCACCCACGAAGACCCACCGTCGCCCCCCCCCCCCCCCCAGTGTCCCTCAGGTCGGTCGGGTTTACCTTTGATCAGCCTCGGGGCAGTGTCACCGGTAGGCCAGACGGGGGCGGCGGGGGCGGGCGGCGGACCTTTTATCGGCCGGCGGGGGCGAGAGATGACGGCGCCACTCCACTGGCGTCCGTATCCGGTCCACAGATATTCAGCCGGCGTGGTGCAACTCAATCGTGGAACTAAATGTTATCTTGAGCTGAAGGGATGCATATCAAATCGTACACACAAAGGCGAGCTTATATTTGAGCCACGATATGTATTCTATTGATTTAAATTGTTCGTTTGTCTGCCAACCCAAGGCAACATCGGTGTCACTTCGGGTATATGGATCTGACCTGGTGTGCCCCAATGCCTACCAATAGTTTCAGCGTTGTACCGTAATACCTATTATGTTAAAATGGAACTGGACAGGGACAAACGGATAAAGCAGCATGTCTCATTCTTAAAGGGACACTCCCACCTTAACATTAGTTTTGAGTTGAGATAGCCAAATTGGTGGCCATGGCCTGCAAATACCGGTTTGGGCACTCACAACATCGAAAAATGCTTTAATTCGAAGATATGGAATTTCAAACTTGCAGTTTTCGGATTCTAAGGGGCTAATGCATTGGAATGCCCCCTTAGAATTTGTGACGTCAGCGGAGATCTAACGATTTTTAAATCTTAGACTAAAATCATCGTTAACACGTGGTGGTATACGCTGCTTTGCGCGCAGCGTCTGCCGCACTTTAAGGCTGCCAAATTATTGCTTCCAAATAAAGTCGCTAGTAACAGGGGAGATCCCAAAAAGTAAACAAAAGTAAAAGCCTAATATCTTGAAAACCAGTGAATATTTTTCGGTGAAATTTGGTAGATATTCGTTTTCGCTCTTTCTGAACCAAGGGACATCACTTTCATACCAATTCATTAACTTTTTTGAAGGTGGGAGGGTCCCTTTAAGGCCCTTGCCTTGTCCGCGGCTGGAAACCCCTTGTATAGCTGCCATGGCTGGTTCTGCATAAGGCATAAATCGGCCAGGGGAGATATCTCTGGTATGCTGCAAACATGTTGTCGTAGCAGCAACAGCGCCGTTAGCCCGTCTTTTGAAACGTATGTTTGCTGACGAATGCCCTTAATCTGATTATGTGTATTGTGTATAACTGTCCCTGCTTTCGTAGGTACTGCACCCCGCGTAAGCAATATTGAAATGCGAGGAATTGCGCGTCTATGACCGTGAATCGGAACTGATTAAAGTTATGTCGAACATAAGTTTGGTACACCATTATATTCATGTTCATCATAAATTAAGTACATTAAGCTGCATACACGATGAGGAGTATTTTTGTTAAGAAATTCTGCATAGCAATTAAGAAATATGTATTTTGGGTTAAAGCTTCTAAAACGTTTGGCTTGGAATCCTGGGTGTGCAATGTGTGTGACTGCGCACGCAGTTTATAACAGTGTCAACTGGGTTGGAACAATGGAGCTGGCGACCACTGAACCGGGGCGATAACAGGGGAATTGATGAACCACTCGGCCGCACCTTTGAGGTGGTGAGATACGGACCGGTCAGCGGGTCCAATCTGATTCGGATGTGGCGAAACCACGTCCCCGGAGCCGAGGGTGGGCGACATGCCTGGCGCAACGCTCATCGAAAATCATGTCAGCCTGCTCGACATAACATTATTTCTCTTATATTTCTTAGAATCTTGTCAACAAGAATACTTACTGTAAACAAATAAACAACAAGTGCAAGATGAGTTTACATTCTAATAATAACCGTTAAACATTATGCCGAGTCGAAGATAAATACAAAACACCATTGAATTTAACCCGCGCCCCGTAGGGGGGGGCCGAAACGGCCCCCCCCTGTCCTTTTCGGTCGATATCTCCTAAACGGCTGGAGATATCGCCACCAAACTTTCAGGACCCCTCCGGGCATCAATTTTACACATTGTGACCAAAAATTTTTTTCCAGAGGCTGTGATAGGTTGGCCACAAATGACGTCAGAGTGACGTCATGTTCTGTCATTTTCGACCGAAAAAAGACCTTCGCGAGAAGACCTGTCAGGCCTACAGCTTTGAAGATACAGAAAAATGATCAAGACATAAAAGGTGTAGAATTGACAGGGCTACAAAACTGCTATCTCGGATTTTTGAAATTTTTGAGTTTTGATCCCCAAAAATCAAAAAAGCATTTTTTTGGATATATTATCCAAAAAATCCAAAAAGTTTTTTGAGTTTCGAAAAAAACCGGAATATATGTGATAGTACCTACCGTCTTCTATCTACATACCAAATTTCAGATCGATACCTCGTTTTTTGGCCAAGTTATAGCGAAAAACCTGTTCAAAAATGATGACGTCAAATTTTCAAACTCAATTTTTGGCAATTCTAGAACTCGTAGAGCAAAACAAAGACCACCATTAGACTCCCCGTGACGAGCTGCATCGAATGGATACCCATTTTATGCAAAAATATCAACTTTGAAATTTGACCTAATTTGACCTGACCTTGACCTGACCTTCACCAAAACGTGACCTAGGCTGGCCCCAAAGGCTGCCTAACCCACATAATCGCATTTGTCATGTAAAATGAACCATAAAACATGTATCACACGACACATTCATATTGTGACCCCCGGTGACCTGACCTCGCTGTGACCTGACCTGGTATCAGTGACCTCAGATAGCAAAGTATGTGTTTGACGAACAATATACCATCGATGGTTTTCAATAAATTACCAATTTACTCGATTTCACAGCACATTTCTTGAATTGCCTGTGAACGGTGAAAATCTGACCTTTGACCTGACCTGTGACGTCATCGGTTTGACCTAGGTCAATGAAATTTGGTCACAAGGTAGTTCCCGGGTAGGGCTATCAAACGCCGTTTGAATTTTGAAAATCGGCCGGTAACTTTCCGAGATCTTAGGGGGGGGGGCCGAAACGGCCCCCCCCCTACGGGTGGTAGGGTCCGCCGGTAGCCCTACGGGGCGCGGGTTAAATGAGTAGATACGTATACTGTCATAAATTAGGTATGCATGCTTTGAAAATACTCTCACATCCGTACCTGAAAGGATTCACTTACTGCTTAGACGTTTTTCATCACAATATAAAAAATCGTCAAACTTTCCCATAACCCGAATCTACCTGGTCCAACGACCCGACTGGGGTGGGGTCTACGTCTGACTTCGAGTAGTCCGACCGTTTATAGCACTCTTGCTTGCTTGTATAAGATTCTAAGGCCTGACCGGTTCACCCCGCTACATTAACTGTGCTATATTCATCAAACCTGGCTCAGTAGCCTTTCAGCGAGTGGCTTGATGTAGCCCCGGCCAGCGAGCAGTGTCGGTGGTGTACCGAAGCTGTAGTTGCGCTGTACGCCGCAGGTGGCGCTCAGGTCAGCAGAAGCCCCAGGTCCGTCCGTAAGTCTCCGAGTCTGGGCAGAACACTTTAGAGGGATAAGTGGCTTCAGCTGGGTATCAGTTGTTCCATTCCAGACACCAGTTTTCTTCTGCAACGATTGACCTTGACACAAGTTATACCTTCCGATGAATATAGCGAATTTTAACCAAAATTTTCAATTCAACGGCGGCTCGTTGGCTTAATGCCTACTGCCTATATGTAGTTATATTGACTATTTTTAAACTCATTTTCCTATTTGACAAAGTATTATGCTCTTTGACATGTGAGATCA